AAGTATTAAAAAATGGAATTTACAACTTCCAAGATTAAATAATAATCATCAGATTCATTTGTATTAGATGAAATGTACTTCATATTAATCTCCAGTATAAATGTGACAGTTAGTATTAAAACATTTAAAATTTTAGTGGTGGTAATGATTGAATTTTTTTTTCTGTAAAGACATTGAAATCTCTGCTGATATTTTATATAAAAACATCTTTATACTTTACTATAAAAAAATTCATGTCCAACACAATTTAGATGAGCTAATAAGTAAGATTTTGATTTATTACATAGGTTTTCTGTAAGAAGTTTGACTTTTTTCATTTATTTGTTTATTTTTCTTTTGTTGAGAGTGGAAGTTGATCAACTAACATGCTTGATAGACTTTTCTACTCATTATGTTATGTCAAAAAGTAAAATTGTCTTATTTAGAAAGATCTCTTCTCTTTTTATTACATACAAGAACAAATTACTTATGTAAATTAAACATTTTCTTTACTTGTATTATTCATCAATAAAATAATTTAGTAACATTTGAAATTTCTTTTTAAAAATGTCATTTTTATGTCAAAAATTACCTTAGCCTCTATTTGTTAAGTAAACAGTGAAAATTTATTGCTTAAGAATTTGCATTTATTTACACTTTTTAAAAGTGTGCCATAATCCTGATTATAAGAAGAAAATTAAAAGCTTTTTTGAAATCAAAGTAATTTATATTCAGAGGGCTATATATTGAACGCAATTCTATAGATTAAGAGGAGTCAGTTAGATTATCTTGTGCGAATGGCTTTTGAATATTTTAATTTCGTTTTTATAATTTATTAACAGTCGATTGATTAAATTTAAAGTAAATTATAAAACAAAATCATTTATTTTAGACTGATCATCAAGATTATTGTGAAGTATGTCAGCAAGGAGGGGAAATAATATTATGTGATACCTGTCCACGAGCATATCATTTAGTTTGTTTAGATCCAGATTTAGAAGAGCCACCTGAAGGAAAATGGAGTTGTCCTCATTGTGTAAGTAATTTCTTTGAATGTGTGTAACATTAACATTCATTACAAATGTTTTTATTTTAGAGCTGATTTCTTTTATCAATTTCTGCTTTAACTTTTCATGTAGATTAAAATTTGTTATATTTTTGAATCTGGCCTTGGGGCAGTGGTATTCAACCATTATTTGGAGGATGTGCTTTTAGTATGTAGCATGTTCGATTAACGTATGCATAAAAATATTGTAATAATTGAAACCACGGACAAAACATGACTCATCAGGAATCAGGATGCATTTGGTTTTGAACAGATAAGTAATTTTATCCCCTCACAATTTGAATTTATGGCAATTAATATGTCGGCAGAACTTTGTCCTCCTTGTTAGTTAATAGAAAAATTAGTTAGGATTAATTTTTGTTGTTCCTGATCTTGGTGGTGGGATCTGTGGTAAAATATTACAGACTGTTGATTGAGTACCACTGTTCTATGGTATTATGCAGTCGATAAACTTTTGGTTGCATGGAATGAGATTTGGCCTCACCAAAATGAGAATAGCTTAGTTAGATAATTCTTCAAACTCTTTCTACCATTATTTTCAATTTTGCTTTAAATTTTCAGGGAAGTTATTTTATTATTTTGGTTTCTCAACCATGCATCGTATTAAAAGGTTTAGACTGCTGATGATATTCTGCTTTTTCATTTTAAAAAAAATGCTTGGCAGATATAATTGGTTATACACATGGCTGTGTTAGTATGTAGAGGAAAACTTGTTAAAAATGCTATCAACTTTCCAGGAAGGGGAAGGTATTCAGGAACAGGAGGAGGATGAGCATATGGAGTTCTGCCGTGTCTGTAAGGATGGTGGAGAATTGCTATGCTGTGACAGTTGTCCTTCCGCATACCATACTCATTGTCTCAATCCTCCATTAAAAAACATTCCGGATGGTGAATGGCACTGCCCTCGCTGTTCGGTGAGATTCAAATCTTTTTTGTATTCGTGCTTATTTTTAACTTGTGCTTTTTGAAATGATTGTTGAAATTATATTTTTTAAGATCTGTGTTCATTATTTGTTTATTTTCAGTATTCTAATTACAATTGTTATTTTTTATTTATATGAACCATTTTATANTTTATTTCAAAATGATAAATGGTATTATTTGTTGTTAATTACACAATTGCATACCTCTGAATTCATATGAATGTTGAACTTAATGTATTTTGAATTGTTAATAGAAAGAGGGGGAAAAAATTGAAGTAATCAAAAATAATAGTTTAAATATAATATAATTTCTTGCAATCATATTTCAAAAACAGGATGAAGCATTGTGAATTTTTACATTTGAGAAAGTGTGTAGAATGTTTTCAAATTCTTGCATTCAGAAAATGTCAAAGTTAATAAAGTAAGCTTTATAGGGAAATGAAATTTTCAGTGAAGTACATAACTGAATTTTATTTGCTGTTTTGTAAAATTACATTTCTGATATATATTTTTTTGATAATTAAATAATAGCTTGATATAGTGTTGACTCTATTTTTTAATCTAATTTGATTCCTGTAAAAGCTCTCATCAGTTGAACCATCATAAATGAAACTGATTTTTTTATAGATTCAATATCATAAAGAAAAATTAATTTCCAGAAAAGTTTTAACTGTATAATAGACTAAGAAGGCAAAATAATAATAATGTATGTACAGAATTCCATATTTAATGCTAATCATAATGAATTTATGCCTATCATATATGACCGATAATAGATCTATATCTTTTTGTCTGATCATGATCAGTCATAAAGTGAGGGATATATTATGTTAAATTAAGTTATCAACTTTTTAATAGGTCGGTAAAACATTTCCTTACAATGGTACTAGATATGATTTATGTATGAAGGGATTGTTATAGACAAGAAGTGAAATAAAAATTTGGTAATTATAAAATGGTGGAATAATCAATGAATATTACTCAAACTTTGTAATTTCAAGTTTGTATGAATAAAATTTGGATTTAGCAATGATAATGAACAGTTGAATTACAAAAAGCTGCTGCTGACGTTTTTATGCAAAAATTCAAGTTTTTTAATAAACTTTCAGTTTATAATTATTACAAATTATAGTTCTTTTTTTATTCTTAATATAATTTTAAATAAGTTTAATAAATTCTTTCATATGAAAAAATTTATTTTTTAGGTTTGTTTTTATTTATCATGTTTGTGTAGGGTACCGTTTTGCATTTTTCAGATTGAACAATTTTTTTTATTGGTAATAGAAATTTCAAAATAGTTGTGGCAAATTATAATTTAAAACACCAGATATGTAAATGTCCATTTATTCAGTAAAAAGGCATTATGGCATTCACATTTCAAATATATAACGCTGTAAATGCCATTTTTTTTCTAAATACGTCTTATTGAAGAATTGAATTCTAAATGCAATGTTTTCTGCTGCAGAAAATATTGTGGCGATATTGGCACTGTAAATGGCTGTATTTTGAAGCTGAATTTATGTGAAGCCATAATGTTTAAAGTGCCAAAATGCAATTTGTGACTTTTAGCACTTAAAACGTTACAGCATATATTTACATCGTTTTGAAATTCCAGAGAATTTGTAACCTAGTGAGTTTTTACCATTATATAAAATTGAAATGAATTTATTCACTAGAAAAAGTTTTTTTTACCTCTTCTGAAAAGTTTATTTTTTTGGCATTGCATGCTTCATTTATCCACTAACAACAATTTTTATAATTATAAGTCATTTGAACAAAATATCGAGTTGATAGTGATAGCTTTTGTTTGAAATTTATCTGTACTTGAATGATACGTTCACTGTTTTATCAAAAATATTTGAAAAGATTATGTATTTACATTGCAATGAAGGAAATAATGTTCCATTTACATTTTTTATAGTTTTTAACAATTGTGAAAACTGTTTTATTAATTAATAACTATAAATCTCTTTTGAGAATAGAAAATATTTTACACTGTTTGGTCATGTAACAGTTTAAATATTGGGTAATTTGTGTAGTTTTTAAGAGTAAAAATTTGCAAAAAGAGAGGAGAATTTTAAAATGTAATCATTGTTTTACCTAATAATATAAATTCATAAAGATGGCTCCTGTATGATAAAATGTTTTCAGTGTCTTTATTTTACATTCTTTTTGGTTGTTCAGCAATGACTGTATGTTAATTAGATGGAAATATATCTGCATATTGTATCTTGTGCTTGTCACAAGTTAATATGTATATTGAATAAACAAGCTTTTATAATTGATGTAATTATTTTTAACATAGCTATTAGTTTATTTTGTAACACTTCGGGATGTTTTATTGAACACAAAAAAATATTGTGGCTGTTCTTAAGTTTTTTAAAAGAATGTCCAATACTTAATGGAAAATATAATTAGCATCTAATTACAATAAGAATTTCTTTTTTATTTAAGTATAGAAGGTGTTACGTCTTGTAAACACACGCTACGTCATTCCGACGCCATGTTTAAGATGAAAAACAACTGTTTAGAACGTGCGTTGATGCTAATATTTCCTTTTATCTGCATTAAGAGAATGTAAGTTACGTTTAAAACACTTTCTTACAATCACAATAAAAAATTAAAACGCGATTATTAATTTTATAACCAGACATGAAGATATGTTGGCGAAAGAATGCTTACTATTCCAACATGGCGTCGATGTAAGGCTAGTGCGTACGGGTAAAAAAATCATAGTAAATATACTTTGCACTTCATGCCCGCATAAATAATAAAGCACACATATAAAAAAAAGTCTTAAATAGAAGACTAAATCTGTGCTGTACCAAATACAGTAAGATAAATTATATCACTGATGTCATATGAACAGAGATATGTCGGGTATATCGATATTATTAACCAATATTAAATACAGTACAGTACAGAGCAATTACACTAGACAACACACTTACCTAAATAACGTATGTTAATGATAGCAGAATTAGAAATATCTTATTCAAGCTTNATATAATAAATTCTACTTTAAATTTTAGCCTCAAAAAAGTTCTGCAGAAATATGTGAAGAAATGGGATTACAAGATGTTGAATTAGAATACACTGAAGCAGACTATCAGAATCTTACAAATTATAAACTGTTTTCACAGCATATAAGACCAATTATTGCTAAAGCTAATCCAAAAATAGCAATTTCTAAAATGGTTACTTTAATATCAGCAAAATGGAGAGAATTTCTTGATAATAATCCAAATCGCGAGGCAATTCAAGAAGAGGAGGAAAAAATGACAACTACCAAAACTAAATCAAAAGAAGGTATGGTTTTTTTCAAAAATTATTAAATTTATCTTTAAGGACTGTACAAATTATGATAATTTAATGTTTTTTCTCTAATAAAATAAGTTTTAATATTTAAATTGGAGATAGAAAAAATATAATAATATTCAGATCCACTTTAGATGCGTTTACTACTAATTAGATGACAAATTGGATACATTTAAAATCATAAATAAACACAACTTATATTCTGAGCAAAATTTTCATGTTTATTGCAAACGTTTCTGCCATTGTGAAAAATTCTTTGGGCTACATTAGAACATACATATCACCTACAATTCTGTAGAGTAGTATATTTGTCCAGAACAGGATAGAGTTATGTATTTTGGCATATCCAAATAGCTTGTATGTCTGGCAAGCATGAGATATCTTAAGGCTATGATACACTAGATGATTTTTATGGGAGACATAGTGCCAGGTGACAGACAAACCTGTTTCTTGGGTAATGGGAGAGCAGTCTTTGGGGAGTCAAATTGCTTTAACTAGAGGAGACAAAAAGTTTCCTGTTGCTCTCTGTAACTAATGGGCATGTATACAGTTGTACTCATGTAATTTTTCACATGAGTACAGCTCTTGTTCACAACAAAAAATAAAAATGGAGGGTAGTCATTGGTTGATAACATGACAATTTCATTAATTCATTTGTAAGAACCAATTTATGGTACAACCACACTGCGACACTATTAAAATATTAAAGAATATTATGAGAAAGTACTCAGATACATGCTTTCAAGCCTTTAATGAAAATTTATTATTACCTAGTAAGAAGTGTTGATTGCATGATTCAGGCAACTTCTCTCCTCATGAACCCAAGTGTTGCCAAATGTCAACAGGTTTTTGTCACTCAGAGACATGTTTCCAGGGTGAGAAATCATCTAATTTGTCAATGCCATTAGATGTAGTATACTTTCAACTAAAATTGAGACAAACATATGTGTTTGCTTTTATTTGAATCTAAACTTTTTTTATACTGATTATAATGATGTGTACTATATTCACAAAGTTATTGATAAGACATAGTTTCTATTGTGGGAACTTCCTTGGTTTTGATATTGTTTGGATGTTTATATTTTAGGAATTATTTGTTGACAGAATTTGTCACTTAATTGGGAAATATTTGTAAGCATTGAATGAATATATGGATATTTAAATATATGTATTCATAATCAAACATCCTTATTACACCTGACACGTTTGATACATCTAAAGCTATACATAAACCAATTAAATAATAATTTTAGAATTTCTTCCAGTAATTCTAAAATTATTATTTAAATTATTTAATTAATTTATAATTATTAAATTTATCAAGAGATGGCGCCTAACTCTAATGCCAAATTGTCTATTAAATTATTAGTATTTTAGCCGTTTCTAGCCCAGTAATATTTGGCTTTGGTAGATGTATACATATATGTATTCATTATTAGGTCACTGAATGTTTCCAAGAGGAATAAAGCAAGTTTGTTTATACATTAAAATATATTTTTTGAATTTGAAATGACTTTCACAATGTTTTAACAAATTAATATATTAATAAAGATAAAATGAAAATAAGTACATCATAACTTTAAGGATTTCATATGTTTTAATTCATTTAATAATTTTTGTTCAAAGAATTGCATGAAACATGGAAATTGAAAAATCACTTTTTTTGTTTTTATTTAACAGATTTGTTTTTTTTTTATTCTATAGAATTATATTTTTTATGAGATGTAGGTCATGCATATATCCTGTTTGAAGTCCTGTTTTTATTTTGAAGTTTGAATTTTATGTAGACATTTCTAAGTTAATAAATCAGAATGTTTAATGATTGAAATTAAGATGATAGTCTTATATTAATATTTTAAATTAGAATCAATAATTTCTGTTTTTATTGTAACCAGTCTGGTAAAAGTGTAACAGTTTTTTATTTTGCCTTAACAAATGTTAGAATTAATGATGTAAATTTTACAAACAAATGTTAATATAGTGATGTGACATATACTAATTAGAATTATTAGTTACGAAAAAGTAATACAGCATTTTCTCATTCTGAATTCCTTATCTTGTTTTTTTCATTTATTTCAAATGATAATTTTCTGCATTATTTTTTCCACTTCAAATTCTTTAGTAAAAAATAGATAAACAATATTATTATTATTTATTAATATTTATTATTAATATATTGTTTTAAAATGCATTATTAAATTCACTCATTTCCTATATAAGAATACTAATATGACAAAATTATTGTTAAAGCTATGTAATAGTTATATTATATTATTAAATGACAGATTTTGAAAAATTATAATGCTGCAAATAGAAAGAGTTAGAGCAGATTAAGCTGTGATCACATGCAGTTTCTTTAACATGTGTAACATGGCAATTTTTTTATGTAACTAATTATGCTATATGTAATTGTCATTAGTCAAATTTTATGATTCTGAAAACTCCTGAAATGTTTTCTCTGCATGTTCCAAATATCAACATTATACATTGTTTAGTTAAGGTGGTTTGTTTAGAGAACAGTGTTCTTGAACACTCTTCCATGCTATCCCAAAGTTTCAAGGGCTCCTTTGAAACTATGATAATGTGGGTTAATGTGAAATGAGTTACAACTGCTAATTTTCCTTGAAAAAATTAGTAATGTAAAATCACCACTATTACATGTGAATTTGGGTAATGATCACAAAAGATGAAATAAAAAAAATAAAAGAACTAAAATTATACTTGTCGTTTTTGATTTTTTAAAATTGTATTAAATCTGTTATGAATTATATTAATTAAAAATCATAAACTATGTTTGGTATTTTAAAATGAAGGTGAATTTATAACTTTTTTCCCCTCCGTATTTTAGATGAACGTGGTATGAAAAGTAAAAAGTCAAAAGGAAAGAAATCAGTACCACTATTAAAGATTAAGATTGGTGGTTTTGGTAAAAGAAAGAAACAAAGCTCAGTAAGTATTCAATTATATATAAATAATTCTAATAGTTAATAATAATTCTTTTTGTAGTTATTTATTATATGCAGATAGATATTCAGAGATGCATCAAAAAATAAGATATTTTAATGTTTAAAACAATTATGAATAAAATCAGGCAAAATTGACTTTATTAATCACTATTTTGCTTTGAAATGAAAGATAAATATATTAGTAGTAAGTGTATTTAGAAAATGTGTATTCAAACAGCTTATACTGAATGAGTAATGGAGAAAACATGCGAATTTCTTTCAGCATTGGTGACAATTTATATATTGTAAATCTGTTACTTTACAACTCTTCTGAAATCTGATTTACCATATATTTTTATATAATCTTAATTTAGTTAGTTAATAAAAACAAAAAATTTTTAAATTATTCTAGTAACTTATTTTTGAAAAATAATTAATGTTAGTTTATTTGAACGAAATTCTAATACCAATTAGAGGTTAGTCATCTGTGATTATGTTATAACTAAGAAAAACTTATTTTATAGAATTTTAAATACAGTGGAATCTTGCTTAATGAGCATAATTCATTCTAGAATCTTACTGGTAATGCAAAACACTTGTTAAGCAAAACTATTTTTTCCCATATAAATTAATGTAAAATACGATAATGCGTTCCATGCCGGAAAAAAAACTCAAATATTTTATGTATAATGTTCATTTAAAGAAAATTACACAATATACACTGTTAAGGAGTGTGAATCATCTTTGTTTTTTTCTAGTGTGAAATGAACCAACCTGGAATGTGAATTTAATTTGCAGAGAACAAAAAAAAAAAAAAACTCAAAAAATAATTTACAGATCAAAATAATGTGTCTGATAAACATGCCAGATGATATTCCAAACTCTTGGGCTATGTAAATGCTGTAATTAAATATTAGAAATCAATTAATTTGACTACAGGTAAGCAGCTATGCTGCCATCTCATTAACCTTTCACCAGTGGAATAGCCAGGTATGATGTATCCCAAAGTAGTGGAGAATGTGGGAAATTTTTAAAGTATTTTTTCACGCGTTTTTTTCTCATTACCGTTTCAGAAAAAGATTTTGTAAACAGTTATGTCTAGTAAAGAAAAGTCTTTTTTGTTGTTACATGATTCATTTTTTATGTGAATTTTTTTTCGTGGTAGTTTTTGGCAATACCCCCAAAAGAATTTAATGGATATATCCGTCCTTCACTGCTGTGGTTAAATTTAATGACCAATTCCAAATTAAATTCCATAAATGTCTAAATTAAAAATTAATTATTTATAATTATTAAATATAATATGAAATGGTAGCATAACTGCTTATCTCTAGTCAAATTAATTTCTAATATTTAATTATAGCCTTTACATAGCCCAAGAATTCAGCATATCGTTTGACATGCTTATTATATAACAGGCTATGGTTGTTGTTGTTGTTTGCTTATATGTAATATGTCTGAACACAAATTTGGAAAAATGTGTGATCACAAGCTACACTAAGATGCTAGTGGAATGAGTGCTAAACACAGACTGATATAGCATGTACACATCTGGGACTTCTCCCTCTCTTTGTCACTCGTTATGCGAGACGTCGCTCGTTAGGCAGTCATTTCTTCACGATTTGTTTTGCTCATGTGAATTACTTGTTATGAGAGGTGCTTGTTAGGCAAGGTTCCACTGTAATAAGATTTAGTGTTGGTGTATAAGACTATCATTAAATCATTATATTATTGATCAAATATCAACTTAGAAATATTGATTTCCTACAAATCAAAAAAAGGAAATGATATTGTAAGAGGATAATAAGCAAATTAGTAATCATCTTATGCTAATAATTGACATTATTATAAAATAAAATTTATTGAAAGTTATTCATATTTTTAAAATTATCTTCATGAGTTAATTTTAGAAAAAGCATGAAAATGATTTATTAAAACAATTCATATATATTAATAAAAACCATTTTTTTTTTTTTTAAGGAGGATGAAGACAGTTTTAGTGATAAAAGTGATGCAGATTTTGAAGCAGCACTTGAAGAAGCACAGAATATGACACCACCACCAAAAAGTGAAACACGAAAGAAAAGTAAGAACAAGAAACCAAAGAAAAAGAAAAAAACAAAGACGACGTCCAGTTTTCCAGGATCTGATGCAGAAAATGATGGTTATGAGGTTTGTTTTAATTAATAAATTTTGATATTCTTTTTTTAAAAGTTTTAAGTAGACAAAAATTGTATAAATTTGTTTTTTATATTTTTCTCTGTTTTCATTACATAAAAAAAGTAAATAAAATAAAATGTACATTAATGCCTATTTAAAAACAATTTTATATTAACTTTAGATTTCTTTGTTGATTTTAGTTTTCTCTTAGTGATTTTTATTATTTGGATGTTCGTATTGTTTTGCAGTTTTTGTGTTTTTGTTTGCAAAATTTATAGTTTTGTGGTGGTGATATTGTAATTAATAAGAATAATTTGTGCTTTTTGATTAAAAACTTTTTATTATTTAAAATACTAGAAAAAGAATACAACAAAATTTTGTTAAAAATTTAATGTTGATTTTATTCTATTGTTGTTTATATAAGTAATTGCATTTTTACACAATATCAAAAGTGTTTTGATCAGCTGCCTCTGATATATCAATACATGAATAGATGAAAATAGAACATAGAACAAATTACAAAAGAAAATAGAAATTACAGTAAATTCTTAACAATTTTTTAAAATGTAAAATGCTTGTCTGTGTGCAAGCACTATATTATTTAGTATTACAGAAAGCCACCATAAAGGTGTGTCACTGGAAAATACAAGTTTCATACAAGATAAACAATAAAAACATCAATGTAATAAATTTCATGTCTCAATTGTTTTCTTGCATTAATCATTTTTCCCAAGTCCTGACAAAAATGATAGAGATTTCACTGTACATATAATAAAATTCATAACCTGTAAACCGGTTGTAAATTTTTCCTGTCTCTCACTTTCTCATTATATCAAATAGTTAAGATTTAAAGTATAAAAAATTGGAGGATTTTTATTTTGGTAAATAGTATTAGCACTTTTAACTGTTAGATCAAAATGACTAAGTATGTGAGTATGTGTTAATTAAAAAATAATTTATCAAATTATTTCATATTTCCAATACAAATGTTGATTAAAGCTATTTTCTGAATATTGAAAATTCATGAATAATAAAATATCACTTTTGTACATTAAAATTTAACTTTAAAAAACTATATAAATTTTTTAGAATTTTTTAGTTAAAATTTTAACTAACAGTTTGCAAAATCAAGGTAAGTCAAGAGCATGGTTTATCATAGAGCAATCAGAACCTGAACAGATCAGATCACACACGCATGTTTATTTTCTAAGTGAAAAAATTGGAGGGATTCAATTATTTCATCCATATAATAGATAATGCTTCTGTCTGATTTGTAGGATAATTCCTATGTTAATGGTTATCATCTGCATGGAAGAAAAAAGTTCAAACTAATTTCTTCTTTTATACATATTCTATAAACACAACTTCTCTATTGATGACCAAGTGCTTAAGATTATAGAAATTTGTAATGATTACTAATAAATGTGAAATATTTGAACTTACATATTTGATTTAGTCTAGAAAATGTTCTATTTTTTGATTGTTAAAAATTGTGTGTATAAAAGATGTACAAGCCTATATTCATTTTTTAATGAAATAATTTTGTATTTGATTGTTGTAAGTTTACTTGTGCCAGTTCTGTCTATTTTGTAGAACAATTCAGTTGACTAGGCTTGAATTTGCTGAATTATAAATTATAAAATTTATCAGTTAACAAATATAATTTAATTAATTTAAATAAGCAAGCTTTAGTTATTTCATAATTATTGAACAGTGATAATATAACTCCACAAATAATAATAAAAAAATATTGAAAACTAAACCATTGAAGAACAATAATGGTCCAAAATTGAAGTTCTCTTATATTTTCAATAAGATATACTGTGTGAAGATAGTTTAGGCCACTTGGCTTAAATACAATTTCTTTCCATTGATAAATTTGAAATTGTCTATGAAAAGTATTAAAAAATGGAATTTACAACTTCCAAGATTAAATAATAATCATCAGATTCATTTGTATTAGATGAAATGTACTTCATATTAATCTCCAGTATAAATGTGACAGTTAGTATTAAAACATTTAAAATTTTAGTGGTGGTAATGATTGAATTTTTTTTTCTGTAAAGACATTGAAATCTCTGCTGATATTTTATATAAAAACATCTTTATACTTTACTATAAAAAAATTCATGTCCAACACAATTTAGATGAGCTAATAAGTAAGATTTTGATTTATTACATAGGTTTTCTGTAAGAAGTTTGACTTTTTTCATTTATTTGTTTATTTTTCTTTTGTTGAGAGTGGAAGTTGATCAACTAACATGCTTGATAGACTTTTCTACTCATTATGTTATGTCAAAAAGTAAAATTGTCTTATTTAGAAAGATCTCTTCTCTTTTTATTACATACAAGAACAAATTACTTATGTAAATTAAACATTTTCTTTACTTGTATTATTCATCAATAAAATAATTTAGTAACATTTGAAATTTCTTTTTAAAAATGTCATTTTTATGTCAAAAATTACCTTAGCCTCTATTTGTTAAGTAAACAGTGAAAATTTATTGCTTAAGAATTTGCATTTATTTACACTTTTTAAAAGTGTGCCATAATCCTGATTATAAGAAGAAAATTAAAAGCTTTTTTGAAATCAAAGTAATTTATATTCAGAGGGCTATATATTGAACGCAATTCTATAGATTAAGAGGAGTCAGTTAGATTATCTTGTGCGAATGGCTTTTGAATATTTTAATTTCGTTTTTATAATTTATTAACAGTCGATTGATTAAATTTAAAGTAAATTATAAAACAAAATCATTTATTTTAGACTGATCATCAAGATTATTGTGAAGTATGTCAGCAAGGAGGGGAAATAATATTATGTGATACCTGTCCACGAGCATATCATTTAGTTTGTTTAGATCCAGATTTAGAAGAGCCACCTGAAGGAAAATGGAGTTGTCCTCATTGTGTAAGTAATTTCTTTGAATGTGTGTAACATTAACATTCATTACAAATGTTTTTATTTTAGAGCTGATTTCTTTTATCAATTTCTGCTTTAACTTTTCATGTAGATTAAAATTTGTTATATTTTTGAATCTGGCCTTGGGGCAGTGGTATTCAACCATTATTTGGAGGATGTGCTTTTAGTATGTAGCATGTTCGATTAACGTATGCATAAAAATATTGTAATAATTGAAACCACGGACAAAACATGACTCATCAGGAATCAGGATGCATTTGGTTTTGAACAGATAAGTAATTTTATCCCCTCACAATTTGAATTTATGGCAATTAATATGTCGGCAGAACTTTGTCCTCCTTGTTAGTTAATAGAAAAATTAGTTAGGATTAATTTTTGTTGTTCCTGATCTTGGTGGTGGGATCTGTGGTAAAATATTACAGACTGTTGATTGAGTACCACTGTTCTATGGTATTATGCAGTCGATAAACTTTTGGTTGCATGGAATGAGATTTGGCCTCACCAAAATGAGAATAGCTTAGTTAGATAATTCTTCAAACTCTTTCTACCATTATTTTCAATTTTGCTTTAAATTTTCAGGGAAGTTATTTTATTATTTTGGTTTCTCAACCATGCATCGTATTAAAAGGTTTAGACTGCTGATGATATTCTGCTTTTTCATTTTAAAAAAAATGCTTGGCAGATATAATTGGTTATACACATGGCTGTGTTAGTATGTAGAGGAAAACTTGTTAAAAATGCTATCAACTTTCCAGGAAGGGGAAGGTATTCAGGAACAGGAGGAGGATGAGCATATGGAGTTCTGCCGTGTCTGTAAGGATGGTGGAGAATTGCTATGCTGTGACAGTTGTCCTTCCGCATACCATACTCATTGTCTCAATCCTCCATTAAAAAACATTCCGGATGGTGAATGGCACTGCCCTCGCTGTTCGGTGAGATTCAAATCTTTTTTGTATTCGTGCTTATTTTTAACTTGTGCTTTTTGAAATGATTGTTGAAATTATATTTTTTAAGATCTGTGTTCATTATTTGTTTATTTTCAGTATTCTAATTACAATTGTTATTTTTTATTTATATGAACCATTTTATAAATTTTTGAAGAAGAGAAAAAAGTTCCACATTATATAATTTTACATGATGTAATAGAAGAAATATATTTTTAAAAATATTTAACTTTAGTTCCTTAACTTTATTTTTCCAGTTATCTTTGTATGCAATTAAATTATTTTAATCTGTTTTAAAATATTTCAATATATTTTTCTTACACACATACATATGTTTAATTTTAAATCATTTATTTATTTATAAATATTTATATTATTATTTTAACGATGACAGTGCAACACCACCTGGGTCTTCATTAAAGACACTTTTAATAAAATCTGACTTTTTATAAATGCTAACACAGCTGTGGAATTAAAATTTCTTATTTAATGCTTTTTCTGTTTGTTTGTGTTTGGCATTGGCTTTTGTAATTTTATTTTTTTATAAAATATACTTTTTATATGTTGTGATTTTATATTTCTTGTATTCTTTAATAATGATTGTGATAAACATGAAAGTAATTTAAAATTTGTTAACTAGGATTTTATTACGAGGCTTTGAATATATTTGCATTATAATAAACTATTCTGAGTTTTAACTACTCAAACGACTAGAGCGGGATTACATTTTGGCTGTAATAATGTTAATTAATAAATGATTAAATGCCATAGTTTGTCCTAAACGTAAGTCTCAGGCCAGTAGCTAATTATTAAACTTAACACATCTTTAAACCAAATTTCAATTGTTTAACAATTTATTAATTAGCTTTGTTTTAAATTAATTAAATGTAATCTACCTCTAGTCATATGAGGAATTATAATTAAATTTTATTTTTCTTTTGAAAAAAATAACTTTAATGAATTAAAATGGTTTGTATGTAATGCTTTAAGATTTGACTTAAAGAATCTGTTAGGCTGTCTGCGATATTGCAGATAATTATTGCACATGTGTGTTTTGACATACGAATTTTTCAATGCAATATATTCAGCTCTAAATTATTTTCACTTGTTTCAAAAATCGTTCTTTTAACTGACTTAACATTTATATTCTAAATGGTGGTGAATATTATTTACTGTTAATATTATCTTGAAATTTTAAATCTTATTATATTAATATCTGAGTTTATTTACATATGTAACTGTAAAGGTTTGTTTATTAAATATGTCTAATACTAAAATAATTTTAGTAATTTTAACTTAACTGTATGGTAAATGTTTATAAGAATTGTAACATACATAAGGCTTGCCATTGTGTGTGTGTTGTTTATAATATAAACTGATGGAGTGTTTAATTTGAACTAAGGAATATGTTCAAATTGTTAAGATATCAATTTGTATTTTAAAGTGATTATCTTGGCAAAATTATTTGCTAATATATATTTACAAAATTAAAATTTATAATTAATAATAATTATAAATTTAAGTATAATTAATGTTACATATCATCATTTTATAACTAGGTTTAAAGAAATTAAAAATACTTTGTCTTCATTTTAGAATGAAAAACTACAGCATATTTCTGAATAAACTTGTGTAGTTTTAAGTGTTATGACTTTTTTATGGGTTGTTTTCAAATCTTATTTGTTTAACCTTATTCATTTGATTTTGCAATTGGAAAGAACTGCACTGTGCTATGTTTTCGTTGTTCTAGAAAGACTGAATCAATGCATGACTTGATGCAACAACTTTTAAGAATAAAGATTTGTGATTTTGTTCATAGGTAAATTGATTTATAGGAATAGATTGTTACAGTAGAATCTTGTTTTAATGGATTGTTCGGGCTGCCGAAAATCATCCATTATGAGAATCTATTATATCTCAAACAACGGATTTCCCACACACCCAGGAAAATATCAATTATTTGAAAAAATTTTCGTTTTTTTTAACCTTACCTATAAGAAATACCAGTACTTGAAATTATTCAGTTTCTTGAGATCTCTCTTTATTCTATAGAAAGACCTATATATATTATGCCGTACACATGTATGATGAAGTTGTATATACTGTAAGCACAAAAAGAGAGTGTTATGTATGCTCATTAGCACTTTATTTGACTTCATAATTTGTTAAAAAATTTGTTTATTTTGGTTTGTTTTGATGTTGCTTTTCTGCATATTGAATACAATAACTGCTTGATATTAGCAATGTCATTAATAGCTTGTTTGTTTATGCTGAAACTCATCAGGAAGGTCATGATTCGAAAGATTCAATGGTCTCGCTAAATTTTAGCACTACACTTGGCCCAGAATCAGAATGAATGTTCATTACGTGGCTCCTCCTCAATCGTATCGGCTTCTTACTTTCTTCATGCAATTCTTTAGTTATACACACCCTGGATGTAACAAGTGCATCATCAAACTACACAAATTCCCAGAAACACCAAAATATTAACAAACCTTGAAAAAAAATTGAATTTTACTATAGATGGGACTATAAAAATTCTATTATTTCAACTTATGGATTCACTAAAAGGAGGTAAAATTTCATTAATTTGGCAGGACCTGGAGGAAAAAATTTGTTATTCAGAGAAATCCGTTGTTCTGCGATTTCTTAAAATGAGATTCTACTATATATCATTTATAATTGTTGTTTTGCTTCAGGAAAAATTTATATTACTTTTTGTATTTCAAATTGTGGAATTCTGAATTAATTAGTTCTATCTAAAATTTTATATGAATTGATAACTAATATTGACCTGTTTAATTTTCCCCACCCCTTTTTTAAATAGATGTTGCTTTAATCTGTTTTTTATTACTAATTTCTGTTTATTCTATCCCTTCCTCCATTAATCAATATGCATTGGTCACACGCATGATCTGACCACTCATTCTATTTTGATTATCATCATTGTTATATGCTTTTATGTTATATATAATTCTACTTCCATTTATTAAATATTCTTATTTATTTCATTACTTGTAATTTGGACATCATCTTTTCAACTTGTGCATTGCTTACGTTCTGTTAATGTGCTAATGTTTGTCTTCTCTTAACTCACCGATGGTAGATTGTTAAAATAACTGATGATTACTTTTTTTTAACTTACAATAAACTTTACGAAATTACACAATTGAATATTTTAAATAATTTTGAAAGCATCAATTTGTTGTTGTTGAAAAAGTTTTAGGAAGTTAAAATTGAATTGATTTTTATGTATATATGTAATTAGATTTTTCTGGATTTATCTCATTTTATCTGCAGGGGATATTGATGTTCCATAAAAGTTTAACACTTTTATTTTCATTTTAATCATTAAATTTAATAAGGAATAAATATCATGCATTTATAAAATAATTATCTAATTTAATATGAATAGGGGAAAAATTTTCAAAATAGTGAAGATTATTTTTAAACTAAAAGTGATAGTGAAGTAGATCAAATTATTCTGATGATTATCTTCAACAGAGGATGCAATGAACAAAATACTCAGAAAATGGTCACTAGAAAAAGTCTTCATATTTTTTGTAATAATACAGGAAGTTGACTTAAAAAAGTTATTGGAGGAAATCAGACTCAAACATCTTTGTACCGTTATGCATCTAAGATTTTCTTGATGACGTCAAAGAAGTGTTTTATCTTAAGCAGCGTAAAGAATCAAACTATTATCAGAAGAAATAACAAGTAAATAAACAAATTAAATATGATGAAATTATACCTGTTACAACAGAATTTTAGTCAGTTTTTAATACTTCTTGCAAATATTTTACTTGTCAGTTTTAAGTTTGTATTTAATTGAGAATTGTTTTAAATACATTAAGGCTAATTTTTTATTTAGCAGTTTTTGGACTAAAGGTTGTACTGCTATTTGTACAAAAATTTATCCAGTTAATTTTTGATTAGTATTTATACAATTCTGGAAGAAAAGATGGATCCAAAATAGGAATTAAGCCCTCAACTTCTGCATACTAGACATTTAACATTTGTCAATAGTAGTACTATCCAGACTTGTTTTTTTATTTCAGTTCTAGATTTACACTAATTTAAATCTACCATATAGGCATGTAGGTGAATTATCTTCATTACAGTTCGGGATACAGATTGCTGTAACAACTTTCTGCCTGAATAATATGATTGTTTTATGTTTGTATGAGATAAATTTATAGGCTTTAGTTAATTTTATTTATTACTGCCATTAATCCATTTATTTTACATTCTGTAAATTTTTTGATTGTGAAAAATTATTCTTGAGGAAAAAAGTCAATTACTTTGGAAATTTTTAATTTAAAAATAAATTAAAAATAGACACATATTTTATACATACAAAAATTTTATTTACTTGTAATATAAGATCCTGAATGAAGTTGGATTGAAGCAGAAGAATGAACAAAAAATATTTTGTGTGATCCTTAAGCTGATGATAAAATTTTGAGGTATTACTTGTATCAAGTTATTGACACAAATTCAAACTGTAATTTGAATCTTGAAATTCAAGCAAAATTAGCAGTAATTTCAAAGAATTTTTAAATAGTATGCTGATAGTTTGCATTACTTAACTTTCATACAATCAAATAATTGCATCAAAACACCTGAATTTTTTGCTAAGTATAAATTATTTTTCTAACATTTTCAACCTACTTAATTAATATAGGCCATCTTCAGGCTTAAAATTAAACTCAAGTCAGCAAAAAATTCAGGTGTTTTGATGCAATTATTTGATTTTATTTGCTGAGAAAGCAGTGGATAGTTTCATACAATATTAAGTATCTTAACAAATTTTAATTTTTTATAATGAAAAATTAAACAAAAATATAATTTACTATAGTCTGTTGCTTATTGTTTGATCAAATAATTAGCTTTAGCTTTTGCCACCTTTGGCCAAAAATTGCTCCTTTGATAAAATAATTGGCTTTGGCCAAAATCAAGCCAAAGGTCCATTTAATGCTTAATTT